ATCTTGTCGGTACCACTGTAAGTATGATGGAGAATAGTTTGTGTAGTTGCAGGTCAGGGTGGCCGTTTTGCCCTCCTGAATGTTCAGGGCCTCGGAATTCTGTTCTATCTTTTGGCTTTTCACCCCTAGGCAGAAACACGACACCAAAAGTAGGAGGGTTAGTGACTAAACTGACACTCTTGAGTCTATTTTCTTCCCACAGTCCCAGATATAACCAAAGATGAGAAAGAATGGATCCTAGCCCTTCCCCTTCATTCTGTGCACTGCAGCCCTGGATCTCTCTGTCCCCATCATCAGGAAATTTCCAACTCACAATCCACTTGAAGCCACAAAATCAGCAAAACACCTCCCAGGAATGGCTCCATTCGTCTCCCCAAATGTGGCCTGAAATGTAGACCCAGCCTTCTCAGCCAAAAAGCCATTCTGTTCAGTTTGGTAGGTTTTACTGGGGTTCTTCTATCCCTAAAAGGAAGTTCTGGCCTTCCTATCCAGCCAATCAATGACAAGCCTGTTCAGCCCCTTACACATACTGGCCTAATCCAGCTACACAGTGAACTTCATTTCAAATCTGAGAAAGGCTTTGAGGGGATAGGAAATACTGCCCTCTTGTGTTCAGAAGGTTATAATAATGGAACGTTAATGGAACGTGCTCCAGGTCAGGGCTTCTAAAACTTAATACGTATGCAAATTACTGGCGATTTTGTTAAGATGTGGATTCTGTTTCATTAGGTCTGAGGTGGGGCTAGATATTCCATACTTTTAACAAATTTACTGGTAATGCTGATACAGCTGGTTCTCAGACCACACTTGTAAGTAACAAGTCCAGAAGAATGCTGATTGAGTCTCACTGCATAACATGGAATTGGTAATATTAATTCTGGATACAGGTCAAATGATCAAGTTTTCCAAGTTCTCCATTTCATTGCCCAAGTGAACTACTCTGTCATTCCTGCCACAGTTGCAGATGTCATGTGCTCTAGATAATGTAAAACACAGGAAATGTATGGCTGAAATCTAGGAAACTTTCCCAGATCTAGGGAGTGCGCCTCCCCACAGGTAAAAGAAAGTATTGCTTTGACTTCAAAAGGCCTTTTTTCTTTATCTTGTTGGACTATAATAAGTAGACATTCAGTTTAAATTCAGAGAGAACTCAAACAACTGAAGGGTTTTTTTCCCCCTAGAATGCCCTCTGAAGGAGTGTTTAAAATTATTTTTAAAATACAACAGCCCTCTGGCTATCTATATCAGAAATTCTTTCTTTTCTGCTTTTTAATGCAGAAAAGATGTATTGTAGTCACTTCCTCAAATACATTTAATGCAGAAAAGATGTATTGTAGTCACTTCCTCAAATACATTTATGCGATTCCTTGGAGAGATCAATGACAGCTGAACAGATGGATGAACGGATAGAAGAAAGAGAGAGTGAGCTAGAGTGTAGCAGGAAATCAAGTTGGAAGGAGAAGTCAGGACTAGAAAACAAAAGATTTAGAGTGCCAGGATTCATTTGTAGGTTATTTATTAGCAAACAAGGAACTTTTGAGGCTTTTGAGGAGGTAATATTATGAAAATGGAAGTCCATATACTGGACATTCTAGTCTATTAACATTCTGTTAATTAGGCTGCTTATCCACAAGAATAATTTGGAGAAGTATGTTGATAGACATTGTGAAAGATAGTTAAGAGTTTGTGTTCCAGCCTCAAAGAAATCTGGCTTTGAAACTCTTCCATTTAATCTCTGAGTGAGCTTGAGCAAGCTACCTAATGTCTCTAAGTATGAATTTCCTTATCTGTAAAGTGGGGATATCACTAGAATGCATTGGCTAATGTATATAAAATGCTTTATATAATGCATCAGACACAGCAAGAACTGGATAAATGTGAACTATTAATATAAGAAAAGGAATCCAATAGTGGCTGCAAAACCAGTCAGGAGGTTATTGCTGCTTTCTCATTGTGAAGTATAAGTGACTGAACCAGGGTCCTTGAACTTCAGAGCTAAGAGGAATTTTTTAAAATTTACAGAAAATGGTGGGTTGGAAAGACTTTTAATCAACTAAGGCATATTTTTGAAAATTTATAAAAATAGAATGAAAAGAGAAAATCACTACTTAGCTTACCAAGCAAAGATATGCATTTTCAATATCACAGTGGGTTTTTTCCCCAACATTTGCACTGTTCAGATTTTTGCTAAGTGGCAATGATATCTTGATTCTTTTTAATTATTACTATTCAATGATCATTATAGATTATATTCATAAACACCACTTATTTGCTGCATAATATTCCATGAGGGTCATTAAGCCTTTCCCTTAAAGATGAGACATTTTGGTTTTCTATTTTGGGGTAGTATACATAACTTTCCAAATACCTTTGTAAATAATTATTATATGCATTTAGAGTTTTCCTAAAGACAGATTCTCTACAGAAAATTATTACAATGAAGAAAATGAGTATTTTTTAGATTATTGTCATGTTTTTAAATTACTTTCTAAAACAGCTTACAAGTTAACTCTCCCACCAGAGAGGTATGTTTCACTGCATTTTTTCCAAATTATCTCTTTTCAATTTGCTACTGCTATAATTTCCTAAAAGTTTTTTTTTCCAAGCACTGCATACAAATAGAAGTATTTCTCTCTCTTTTTTTAAATTTCTGGTCTTTTTTTTTTATTACACTTTAAGTTCTAGGGTACATGCGCACAACATGCAGGTTTGTTACATAGGTATATTTGTGCCATGTTGGTTTGCTGTACCCATCAACTTGTCATTTACATTAGGTATTGAATCTCTGAATAGACCAATAAGAGGTTCTGAAATTGAGGCAATAATTAATAGCCTACCAACCAAAAAAGGAAAGAAAAGTAAACACTGCATGTTCTCACTCATAGGTGGGAGCTGAACAACAAGAACACATGGACACAGGGCGGGGAACATCACACACTGGGGCCTTTTGGGGGCTGGGGCTCTAGGGGAGGGATAGCATTAGGAGAAATACCAACCAAAAAAAGTCCAGGACCAGATGTATTCACAGCCGCATTCCACCAGAGGTACAAAAAGGGATGGTACCATTCCTTCCGAAACTATCTCAATCAATAGAAAAAGAGGGACTCCTCCCTACCTATTTTATGAGTCTAGCATTTTCCTGATACAAAATCCTGGTAGAGACACAATAAAAAAGAGAATTTCAGGCCAATATCCCTGAGGAAAATTGCCTCCTTTTAGGTCTCTAAGAACTTGTTTTATGAATCTGGGTGCTCCTGTATTGGGTGCATATATATTTAAGATAGCTCTTCTTGTTGCATTGATCCCTTTACCACCATGTAGTGACCTTCTTTACCTCTTTTGATCTTTATTGGCTTAAAGTCTGTTATATCAGAGACTAGGATTGTAACCTTTTTTTTTTTTTCTTTCCATTTGCTTGGTAAATATTCCTCCATCCCTTTATTTTGAGTCTATGTGCATCTTTGCACGTGAGATGGGTCTTCTGAATACAGTGCACCAATGGGTCTTGACTCTTTATCCAATTTGCCAGTCTGTGTCTGTTAATTGAGGAATTTAGCCCATTTACATGGGCCTCAGTATTTCCTTAATTTGAATGTTGGCCTGTCTTGCTGGGTTGTGGAAGTTCTCCTAGATAATATCCTGAAGAGTTTTCCAACTTGGTTCCATTCTTCCTGTCACTTTCAGGTACTCCAATCAAACGTAGATTTGGTCTTTTCACATAGTCCCATATTTATTGGAGGCTTTGTTTTTCCCTTTTCATTCTTTTTTCTCTAATTTTGTCTTCTCACTTTATTTCATTAGGTTGATCTTCAATCTCTGATATCCTTTCTTCTGCTTGATTGATTTGGCTGTTGATACTTGTGTATGCTTCACAAAGTTCTCGTTCTGTGTTTTTCAGCTCCATCGGGTCATTTTGTTCTTCTCTAAACTGGTTAATCTATTTAGCAATTCACCTAACCTGTTTTCCAGGTTCTTAGCTTCCTTGCATTGGGTTATAACGTATCCCTTTAGCTCAGAGGAGTTTGTTATTACCCACCTTCTGAAGCCTACTTCTGTCAATTCGTAAAACTCATTCTCTGTTGAGTTTTGTTGCCTTACTGGCAAGGAGTTGTGATCCTTTCGAGGAGAAGAGGTGTTCTGGTTTTTTTAATTTCAGACAGTTTGTGCTGGTTTCTCTCCATCTTCATGGATTTATTTACCTTTGGTCTTTGATATTGATGACCTTCACATGGGGGTCTCTGAGTGGATGTCATTTTTGTTGATGTTGATGCTATTCCCTTCTGTTCATTAGTTTTCCTTCTGACAGTCAGGCTTCTCTGCTCCAGGTCTGCTGGAGTTTGCTGGAGGTCCATGCCAGACCCTGTTTGTCTGGGTATCACCAGCAGAGGCTGCAGAACAGCAAAGATTGCTGCCTGTTCCTTCCTCTGGAAGCTTCGTCCCAGAGGAGCACCCATCATATGCCAGCCAGAGCTGTATGAGGTGTCTGTTGGCCCCTACTGGGAGGTGTCTCCCAGTCAGGAGACACGGGGTTCAGGGACCCACTTGAGGAGACAGTCTGACCCTTAGCAGAGTTCGAACTCTGTGCTGGGAGATCAACTGCTCTCTTCAGAGCTATCAGGCAGGGACATTTAAGTCTGCTGATGCTGCCCACACATCCACCCCTTCCCCATGTGCTCTGTCCCAGGGAGATGGGGGTTTTATCTGTAAGACCCTGACTGGGGCTGCTGCTTTTTTTTCAGTGATGCCCTGCCCAGAGAGGAGGAATCTAGAGAGGCAGTCTGGCCACAGCAGCCTTGCTGGGCTGTGGAGGGCTCTGCCCAGTTTAAACTTCCCAGCGGCTTTGTTTACACTGTGAGGCTAAAACAGCCTACTCAAGCCTCAGCAATGGCAGACGCCCCTCTCCCCACCAAGCTCAAGTGTCCCAGGTTGATCTCAGACTGCTGTGCTTGTAGCAAGAATTTCAAGCCAGTGAATCTTAGCTTGTTGGGCTCTGTGGGGGTGGGACCTGCTAAGCCAGACCTCTTGGCTCCCTGGTTTCAGCCCCCTTTCCAGGGGAGTGAATGGTTCTGCCTTGCTGGCATTTCAGGTACCACTGGGGTATGAAAAAAAAAATCTGCAGCTAGCTCAGTATCTGCCCAAACAGCCACCCTTTGTGCTTGAAACCCAGGCTCTGGTGGCATAGGCATTGGAGGGAAGCTCCTGGTCTGTGGGTTGTGAAGACCGTGGGAAAAGCACAGTATCTGGGCTTGAGTGCACCGTTCCTCACAGCACAGTCCCTCACGTCTATCTTGGCTAAGGAAGGGAATTCCCCGATCCCTTCCACTTCCCAGGTGAGGCAACGCCCTGCGCTGCTTTGACTCACCCTCTGTGAGCTGTACCCATTATCTGATCAGTCCCAGTGAGATGAACTGGGTACCCCAGTTGGAAATGCAGAAATCACCCACCTTCTGTGTCAATCTTGCTAAGAGCTCCAGACAAGAGCTGTTCCTATTCGGCCATCTTGCCAAGTCTATATCAAAAAACTTATTTTTAAAAAAACAGATATTGGCCAGGTGAAGTGGCTCACACCTGTAATCCGAACACTTTGGTGGAAGCTGAAGCAGGTGAATCACTTGAGTTCAGGAGTTCAAGACCAGCCTGGCCAACATGGTGAAACCCTGTCTCTACCAAAAATACAAAATTAGCAAGGTATGGTGGCAGGCACCTGTAATCCCAGCTACTCAGGAGACTGAGGCAGGGGAATCGCTTGAACCCAGGAGGCGGAGGTTGCAGTGAGCCAAGATGACACCACTACACTGCAGCCTGGGAAACAGAGCAAATCTCCATCTCAAAATAAATAAGTAAACAAATAAAACAAAAAGACATATTCTAGTTTTGGACGTGTTCAATTTAGTGTGCATCACGATACCAGAAAAAGTGAAACACAAAGCCAGAAATAAGAGAAAGTTAAATTCTGTTTGTTTTTAGCTAGCTATATCCATATTGAGGATGAACTCTGCTAATATGTCAGTACCCATTCGGTATTAAATAATGATGAGTACATGCCAGGATCATGCTAGGTGCTTCACATGCATTATTTCAAACATATTGATGGATCTGTGTACTCAATGCATTTTACCTAGCCCCTTTCCTTAAATGTCTATTGGTAAAATATTAACAACAGTGAAATACACACAAGTGCTGGATACAAGGAGTGGCACAAGTCATAGCCCTAAAAACTGGGCAACTTTTTAAAGATATTATAAAGAAGATAGACTTGCAGGATAGTCTAATCAACCCATATGTTACTGCCTACATGAAAAAAGCTCACCTGAGAAGCTCTAGGGACAAATGAGCAACTGGACTAACACTTATAAAGCAGTGACAGGGCTCCTGGGGAGTAGAAAGAGATCAAAGAGTAAAATAATAAAGGGTAATCTGATCATGAATTATACGAGGAAGAATGGGCTTCCACTTTGATGATGATGAGGAGGAGGATGATAATGATGATAACGAGTACAAAGTGAAAAACTAAATACCAACTGTCTCTATAAGGCATTTCAGAAAGTAAACATCTGTTTTTAAACAAAATTTTTAACCTTAGAAACAAACTATGGCTTGTTTGCATGCCATTAGAAGAATACCAAATAGTATCATTGTCATTTTTAAGGAACCAAACCATGGATCTTAGGTCACCAAACTACTCTCCATGTTAGAATGGTACAGTCATACAAAAAGATGGTAATATAAAAGCAATTGAGGCACAGAAGAGGATAACTATGGAACTCTCCAGCAAGTTCTCCAACTGGAGTCTCAATATATGCGATGTACCTTTCTTACTAGTAAAAGACATCCTGGCTTCTGGCTTGGCAAAAAATTCCAAATCAACCATGACCTCCTTATCTGCTCTTGGAAGATTTAATAAATCCCAATATCATCAGTGCTGAAAGAAACCTTAACATACAATGTTAGAAACGTATGACTTTCCCTTTAAAATGCTGTGAAAAATAGAAAAAATATGGGATGAATGAAAACATTCAGCACCTCAAGGAGGAAGAAAGAACAAGAGGAAAAGAGCACAAGGGATTGAAGAAATAAATTATTTCTAGAACAGAAGAAAAAATAAATTTCTAGAAAATTTAAAACTTCCTACGTGTAAGAAACTGTGTAAAGGATAACACATGAGTTCAGAAAAACATTGTCTTTCACCACAAATATATGGGACGATTATAGGAGAAATAAAATGCTGACTTATAAAATCACTCATAAACCATTAAAAATTCATTTTTATAAGATTGGGGAAATGTGAAACATTCAGGTTAGAATATAATATTAAATTGAAATGCAAGTCTGATCCTTATTTTTTTTTCCTCGCTGCCTCTTTGATCAGGCCTTTATTCAAAAGAAGCTGTTCAGAATGATTTGACCTTTGTGGAATAATCAAATTTCAGAGTTTATGCAGCAGGTTTCTTTTCCTCTGTAGTAGGTTTCTCTTCTGCTGGCTTCATTTCAGCTGCTGGTTTCTTGGTAGCTGCTGCCTTTTTTCCCACCAGAGGCTTCTTCTGCTTCTTAACACCAACAGCCTTCTTTCCTTTCTTACCTACCATAGGCTTCTAGCCTACGAACCCCTTCTCATTTGATTTGGCTTCCAGTGCAGCTGCTGCTGGATACTGCCTTGTTCCCCAGGAGCTTGTGATTCCTGGCCTGGCAAAGAATGGTGTTGCGGCGCATGGTCTTTGCCTATGGGTTTAGCTTCAACGTGATTCTCAGATTTTTCAGTGGGTTCTTTAGGACTCTGCGATGAATCTTCTTGCATGGTGCTCAAAGGGCTCTCTGGATCTCTGGGCTGTTTAAGATTCTGCTGAGGTCTGTGTTGATCATCTTGTGCATGGGAAGATTGTAGTTACTCTTGAGGGAAGCAACATTATGCCAAGTGCCATACAATTCATCTAACTTCCGGAAAGCACTTTCAGTCCAAATGCAGAAACGTCCCACATGCCCACCAGGAGCAAGTTTCAAAATGTTCGGTTTGCTTATATTACGCATCGTGATTCCAGGGATGTTTCTGAAGGCCTTGATGATACCATTATCCTCATTATAGATGATGCAGGGGCCCCTGCGCTTTGTATGGTGATGGTTTCTTGTTTTGCCCTTGCCGGTTCTAACTTGCTGAGAGGCATAGACCTTTTCGATATCATTCCAGGCTTTAAGTTTCTTAAGAAGCAAAATAGCCTCCTTGGTCTTCCTGTAGCCTTCAACTTTATCTTCGACTACCAAAGGAAGTTCAGGAGCTTCCTCAATACGATGACCCCTAGACATGACCAGTGTTGGTAAGGCTGAGGCGGCCAGGGCAGAAGAGATAGCATACCGTTTTTTGGGTTGTATTCACTCTCCTGTGCCAGTGGCGCCAGGTTTTGGTTGGTGCAAACAGTCGGCCTCCATGACACATGTTTCCAAAAGCTCCCTGGCCAGAATGGTGAGTCCCACCACCTCGGACTCTGGGAATTCGAGCCACAGCTCTGCCAGTACCCCAAGACTCAACACTGGTTTGATGACCTGCTAATTCACTGACAGCATGGGGCTGTCTGTCGTTTTTGCGCTAGTAGGTGTGAACAAAGTTCACAATACCTGGTCGAATAGGAGCCTTGAATAAGGCAGACAAAGTGACATTTTTGCCAGATGACTCCCCCTTTTCAGAGTACACGGATATCAGTGGGCGAGCACACACCATGGCAGAGAGAGGAGAGAGCCACTGCTCCGCTCACCCCAGCTGCTGCCACAAGAAGAGCGATCCTAATTTTGTTTTAATGAAGAAAGAATACTAAATGTCAGCTATGAATTATCTGTGTAATAGGCTTATAAGACATTTTGATTTCTATTTTATAATTTCCTATTTTTTCCTATACCATGTAGTTAATATATTTATAATTAGACAAAGTTAACAAATACTAATATTAAAAGATAAGAGACTCCATCAAGGAGAGGATTCTCTGACACCAAGATGTCCTTGGTAAGGGAGAAATCATTCAGATGACTTTATGGCAGCCATAAAGTCAACCCTAAGACCAGGATTTCAACTAAGAAATCATTAACTCCCAAAAAGAGTTTAATCAAAATGTTCTGAAAGTTATTAAGTCATTTTGAAACTGACGTTTTAGGATGTTTTGTAACATTAAAAATACAAAACAGCAAAATCCCTGACTTAAAGATAAAGGAAATAGAGTGTGGCTTTAGCCCCAGGCGCAGGTTTAGGTACAGGATACAGGTGCCTGAGAGGCAATGTGTACTCTCTGCACAGAAGTAGATAGCTGAGTCCTCAGTCTGGGTGTCTGCGATGCGCAAAGACAGATGTTTATCCTTCTTATTCAATAGAACAGTGACTCTTTGGTCTCGTTTCAGGTCCATATTTGAAAGAATATATATCAGCAACTGGAGACCTGCTCCAGGTTCTTGCTTATACCAATATAAGTAGGTGGAGGAACTGTCCGTGTAAGTGCAGTTTATAACGGAGATGTCTCCCTCTCGGACACTCAGGAAAAGACTCTGCTCCACATCCTCTCCTCTACTCATACCTGTGCAAAAGGAAAAATCAGACAAGATCATCAGGTCATCATTCTCTAGGGTTTGCTTTTTTATTTTTTTCACTGTAGTAACTTCAGGCATTCTGGAAAAGATCAGATGAGTCTCCTCCTCAGACTTCTAATGAATATTTATTGAACACTCTGTTCCTCAAAAGCTCTCAACTCACAGTCCAGCTGCAGCCACAAAAACAGGAACAAAGATCCAGTAAGTGTCTTCATTGTTCTCCCCACCGGGACCTGCAATCTCCAGCCAAGAGAGCTATATTATCAAGGGTCTCTTCCTTTCCTCCAAAGCACTGTGGTTTCTTAAACGGTCCACAGAGGCATCTGCTTCTGTCCTCAGCCTACTCACAGAAGTCAACCAAAAGGATCCTTTCATACATTCTACATGAGCAGAGAAGCTCTGCCATCTTGTGGTCAGATCCCCAAATGCTAAACCAATTATCCTGTATCTGTAGGAGATTGTGGCACATAAAACAGCAGAAGGCCAAATAAAGTAAATTCCAAGTGTACCTCCAGTCAGAAATTATGTGGATTAGCAGACAGAAAAAGTGCAAATGTAGGTTTCAGAATTCCATTTTATCTTCTCAGCACACTACTGAGTCATTTTAAATATATTGGAAGAAGTTAGAGGTTTTTCATGTTTATTAAAGACAGTCTATTTGAAATTAAGAAAATGCCATGATTCAGTCTGCAAAGCTACTGAGGAGTAAAACCTTTCCTCCTTATCCCTCTACTACTTTTTGAGTTGGCCAGAAAATCAATCAGCCAAGTCAACCATCCTGTTTCAGCGCTCACAGAGGCAAAACTCTTTGTAAAGGTAACACTTAAGCACAAACATTGGAGTAAGACAGGTTCACTAAATATATCAGATGCAGGCTATTTCAGGCTCTGCTCCTCCAAGCCTGACCTTGCCATTCCCAGGAAATTGACAGTGCCAGAGGTCAAAATATGAGTGTTGTTTTCTTCAAAATGACTAAATTATAAAATAAAAGATAAAAGGAAGGAAAAAGGCTTCCATGAGTTGATAATATCTGTCTAATGAAAGGGAAGAGTTTAGCTTATAGACTGTGATGAAAAATCTGACACGCACTCTGAAATCTTTTCCTCTGGAAGAACAGATCATCTGAAATTATGGATATGTGGCTTACTTATTGCAACGTATTGACATAAAAGAGGAAACATCTCAGGAAACATCAGGCTACAGATTGAGATAGTGTAAACAAGTGTACATCTTTTCCAAGTGTACTCTTATTCCTATTGTCAGAATGAGTGGCTTGTCCTCAGATGTGATCACCGAATAATGATCTGTAGTAGAATTTCCCTGCCCTTACCTTGGGCGCTGCTAACTCAGATTTCAGACCCGAAAACTTTTCCCTCGATTTTATTGTCTATTGCTAAAATCATCGTTTAGATATTCCCCTGTGATAAAGCCCTTCAGTACTTTAAATTCTCTATCCAAGCCCTATATCATCTATTTTAATTTCTTCAGTCTTTCTGATTCATTCCTGTAAGAATAAATATAAGTAAGCATAAAACCAATGCCTGTTAGTAGCATAATATATGTAGGAAACTGACAATGGCAAATTTACTCTCCGTTCAGGGAAACTTGGTTTGACTATTTTTCACAAGTTGAAGTCTCTTCCCTATGCTTTGACTTAGTAGATCTCCAAGCAATGTAGAAAATTAATCTAATTCCTCGTCTACGTGGCATAACCAATATATCTCGAGTGGGATTATGCAGAATCGCATTCCTAAAATACAAAGACATGTACATATTACAAAATGTATATAGATTTATATAGATTAAATGTATTTATTTAAAGTTTTCATTTAAATTTTTTTATTCTTTTACTCATTCATCATAACATATAATTCCCAGATCCTTTATCATATTCCTTAGTTGCATTTTCCTTGAACTTTTCTTAACACTTTAGGTCAATATCTGTCCTTCGGATATACAGCATGCAGAGTTGAAAATACTAGTCTTTAGGTGGTCTGCTTCTGTTCCACCTATTTACTATAACACTACTCACAATTATGACCTGGAAAAATTTCTACTCCTGTGATTTTTTTCATAAAATATTGCCTTATTGTCAAAAACAATGGCATGGAATAGCTCTATTTTCTAGTACTGACATGGATTTCAATATGCATAAGCAATGTTCATTTTGCTCCCAATTTATCTACTTTTTCTTTTCCCTTTGTCATTTTTTCTTTCAGTTTGTATGTGATGCACAACATGTTTATAAATACAGGATAATTCGTATAATTTGTTATTAATAATATAGAATAGAAAGTACATCTGAGTGATAAGGCTAGTTATAAACAGTTCTTGGCCTACTCTTACTAATGTCAGAGAGTGCATTACTGATTTCCTTGTAGTATGAGAGTGGCTGACCCTGGGTCTCCTATTCTTTTCAAAATTCTGAACATGTATTGTCTGGTTGGCATAGATCAATGGTCATATACATGGTTAGGGGCCAGATAGTGTATGCCCATACTGTAGGACAGTGTCTCCCCGCTGACACACAAATGTAAGACCATAATAACTTTGCACACAGTATTCAGTGAATGTCTTTTCAGTTAAATTGGATCCCAGAATTTCAGGGCTATTAGAACCCTTAGGATTCTGTAGTTCATGGTTTTTCAATTTTGGCACTATTAACATTTGTACAAAATAATTCTTGGTTGGAAGCTCTCTTGTCCATTTTAGGATGTTTAGAGCATCTCTGAACTCTCTCCACTAAATGCCAGTTTCAACTCTCTGTACGACAATAAAAAATATCTCCAGATATTCCAAATTATCCCTTGAAGGACAAAATTGCTCCCATATGAGAACCACTGTTCTAGCTCAATCTCATTCACAAATAAAATACTGAATCTAAGGTAAGTTTAGAGTCTCAACAAAATAAAACAATTAACTAGTTAAAAAAAAAAAAAAACCCTAGAACTTGAAAAAAACATTTTTCACCTCCCTTCATCATTCTGTTTACTTCATCACTTCAGGACCACATTGCTGAACAAAAAGGTACACATTCAGAAACTGTGCTAAAATGCAAATCCTGATTCACTAGGACTGGAGTTTGTCTTAAGACTCTGCATTTCTAACAAATTCCAAAGTGATGCCGATGCTGATGATTCAATGTGGATGACTACAGATGGGGCCGGACTGCCCTCCTGTTTTCTGTTTTGTGTTAGGTTAGAATTAATTCTTCATTAAATGTTCTATTCAACTCACCTTAGAAGCAACCTGAGCCTAGAATTTTTCTGTGAAATTTTATGGGGTTGTTTGTTTGTTTTTTGTTTGTTTGTTTTGAGATGGAGTTTCGCTCTTGTTGCCCAGGCTGGAGTGCAATGGCACAATCTCAGCTCACCGGCAACCTCCACGTGACTCTCCTGCCTCAGCCTCCCGAGTAGTTGGGATTACAGGCATGCGCCACCACGCCCAGCTAATTTTCTATTTTTAGTAGAAATGAGTTTTCTCCATGTTGATCAGGCTGGTCTCAAACTCCCTCAAACTTAGGTGATCCACCCACTTTGGCCTCCCAAAGTGCTGGGATTACAGGCGTGAGCCACTATACCCGGGCTATATTTTATCATTTTTTAGTTCAAAATGTCTTCTAACTTTCCTTGCAATTTCTTCTTTTATCAATGGGCAACTGAGAAGTATATTGCTTAATTTGCAAATATTTGGGGATTTTCTACTGTATACCTTGTAACTGACTTCTAAATTAATTATATTGTGGTAAGAAAACTGTAGGATTCTAATCCTTTCAAATCTATTGAGACTGTTTTACATTGATGAATGTTCTAAGTGTTCTTGAAAAGAATGTATATAGTGCACTTGGTGGATATAGTGCTCTATAAATGTCAATTAGGTCTAGTTGATTGTTCCAGCCTTGTGTATTTTTACGAACTTTCTGTCTACTTGTTCTATCAATTACTAGAGAAGAGCATTACAGTCTCCAACTCTGATTACAGATTTGCCTATTTCTCCTTTAATTCTGTTAATTTTGTTTCATATATTTTATAACTCTGCTATCAGTACATAAACATTTAGAGAATATTATCTCTTCTTGATCAAGTGACCCTCTGTTTATTATTAAATAACTCTTTTATCTCATAACACCCCTCATTTTGAAATAGTCTTTAATGTTAATAGAGACACTTAGCATTCTTTAGGTTGCTATTTGCATGGCATAGGTTGCCTCTTACTTTCAACTCATGTTTGTCTTTAAAGTACATTTTTTGTGAATGATATACAATTGTGTCTTTTTGTCTAGTTTGAGAATATGTCCCTTTTATTTGGAGTGTTTATGCTATTTACATTTAATGTAATTGTTTTTATTTGGTTTGAATCTACAATCATAATCCATTTTCTATGTTTTTCCTCTAGTCTTTGTTAATATGCCCATTATTCTTCCTTCTTTTGATTTATTTGAGAAGTTTTTATATTCAGTCATTCTATTTCCCCCATTGGCCATTAGCTAAACCTTTTTGCTTTGGTTTTTTAATTGTTTATCTACAGATTATCATATGCATCCTCAGTTTATCAGATTCTCTCTTGAATTAATATTATACTACTTCATACATAATGCAAGAATCTTACAACAGTTTAATCCTATTGCCCCTTCAGTTTTTTGTGTGTTATTGCTGTTGATTTTATTTATATATGTTATTAGCTGTATAATACATTGTTATTATTTTTGCATTTGTCAACTGTATTTTGAAAAACTTAGAAAAGTAATCTTTTTTTAATGTTTCCACTTAGTTACTATTTTTAATGTTCTTTATTACTTCCTTGGGTCATAAATTCCACCCGATATCATTTCCCTTCAGTCAACAAATCACCTAACAAAAATACCTTATAATTTTTGAAGTATGGTCCTGCTGATAACAAACACTCTTGGCATTAATTTATTGTTAAATGTCCTTGTTCCAGGGTATAGCCCTAGTTGTAGGGTATACCCTTTAGTCCCAGAGTATTGTCCTTATTTCTAGGACGTGGTCCTTCTGGGTTTTCATTAGAAAGTCTAAGGTTTTACCAAACCTCTTTCACTTGGCAGCACCTGCATTTAAAATTCTATTGCCCTAGTTCAGGGCAACTGCTAAAATCTTTTCTCTCAGCCATCTGGCTGTTGTTTTCTACTTACTTTCTTAGAGTCTTGTCTTATGCATGCACAACTCAAGAATCAGCCAAGGGATAGTTTTATTTTTTGTTTTTAGCTTGTATAAATTTAGGGGCTACAAGTGCATTTTTTAAACATGAATATAAAGTCTTGGCTTTTAGTATAGCCATCACCTGAATAATGTACATTATACCTAT